TTCATATTACTACTACAAATCTAATATAATATCTAACAACGCACATGTGTCACATTTGAGTCACATGTTCTGCAAATTTCCACCGTGCCAAGGCACTTGTGTCCACAACACGTAAGTCGCAACAGCCGAAACGAAGGCATGGGCTCCCGGTTTTGCAGCAACAGTCAAGTTCAATGCCTACAGCGAATGCAAAGGACAAGCCACCCTCTCAATGCATGGATATGTATGGATATGTGAGATATCTATAGGATATACATGGGTCATTAAATTAAATGTCCCCATTGAACATCACCCAACCATTACGTATATGGTCTATAATGGCTACTATAAGGTGATGTCCAATATACCCAAAATGGGACAGTTACCAACCCCTGTCAGGATCTAAACGCATCTAAGTTACAGCAGCACGTATCCTTCTCTGCACAGCCGATGTGAGGGCCACACAAACAGCCCTCATAGTTGCAAAAGCAGCCTTCAAGGATGATGACCTGACAAACGAAATGGAGAAAAAAAAATGTACCGTACAATAACCCCACCCACAACTATATATGTATATATATATACACATTATATTATTATATATATATACATATACATAATTATATATATATATATAACTATAGATATAATTATATATATATATAATTATAGATATAATTAGATATATGTATAATCATATATAATTACGTATGTATATATATAGAAAATAGAAGTGCGTCCAGGATCTGAATCAGGTTGTGTTACCTCCTTAATTTCCAGGTTTCCCACATTTCTATCTATTTGGGGATTGCTAGATGTTGAAATAGACAATATATGAAGATATGGAAAAACAGTAGTGTCGACAGTTTGAAGAGATTGAAGGCAACCTTAAGCACATGGCAGGTTTTGCTGCAATGGCCGGTGATGACATGGCATGAAAAATGATCTGCCGCTGTTTCACTGGTTCACTGGCACGCCCAGCCTGACTTTCATCGAATGATTCCATCTGCATTCGCACCTGACGAGGTGGGTTGACGGGAACCACCTGAGGAGCTGCCATTGGAACAGTAGCAAGATTTCGCAGGAAGTTGGAAGCCAATTGTGTGTTGCTGTTTTGAGCCGAATCTCCAAGTTGAGGGTTGTTTCGAGCATGCCAAATACATCTAAATACCATAGTAAGAACAACACATTGCTCCATGTTCAGCAAGAGAATCAAACAAAACCAAGAAAACAAGCGTTGATTTGTTGCGCAACACTGCACATTGCACGTGGTCGAACGCTTGCAGAGGACAAATCATCCGCATGTGTGTGTGTGTGTGCGTGCGCGTGCGTTTCTTGTGTCAAAATCTGTTGGGATTTCAATCATCACTCTGAAGTCTTGAGAGATTGGTGGGCGATTTTTTGCGCCGCCCTGCCCTCCCCCCCCCGATGTCACAATGTGTTGGAGCCCATCCACTCTCTTCCCCAATCAACCCCTATGATCCTCAGCATCCAAACATCCTCAGTCTTTGCAGAGGTGATGCACGCATTGCCATGGACCAACTATTGCAAGCAACAATGGCCCAACAGTGAAAGGTTCAAGCCCAAGTGGAAGGTCTCCAATGACTCACTTCGGGGATGACTTTGCAATGCATGCATGTTTTACGAATAATGCGTGTGTATAAATTTAACATAGATATAATATATAATGTATATATATATATATTTATTTATTTATTCATATTATGATATTGTTTCAATTTGATTCAATTTATTTTCTGCAAAAAAGGCAATCTATACCCATAGAAAATTATCACCGGCACGTGGATACTGGGGACATGGCGACTTGCAGCAACACATAGCAAATCATAGCAACATCTGTATCACAGCGCATCCACAAAGTGAGCGGGGGCACAGCAACGGAAACCTAAACAGCGGCCTTTGGCCTCAGGGTGCCGACCACGGCGATAGCTACTGCGGGCCAACCTGCACGAACAGGAATAAATTGAGTTCCAGGACCAGTTGAAGGAAACTGGAATATATGGACGATTATCTTGGAACATCTTGGTTTGTTTTGTATACATGCACTCAAATAACCTCACCAGCCAATTCCTGGCTTTTGGGATGCAGCTGATTGCATCTGCCCGTGATTGCCCATGTTTTAAAGCCAAGAGGCGCAGCGGGGCCGACCCAACTGCCACCGCGCTCGCTCTTTAGGGCGCCCTCCTCCTCTTCAGCGTTCCAGGCATCTTTCAGGCTGGCCTGCCCGCGAGGCTCGGATAGCCAGTGACAATCAGTGACAGCACCCCCAAGTTATGGCAAGTTTAGTAGGGAAACTGATCATTAATCATGATTAAGATTAACCAATGGATTATATAGGGATCCTATGTTGAACACCTTCAACCAACCGAACTCGGGGACAAAAGTCATTTGCTGCCCGCCTCGGTGCACAGCACCCCCAAGTTATGGCAAGTTTAGTAGGGAAACTGATCATTAATCATGATTAAGATTAACCAATGGATTATATAGGGATCCTATGTTGAACACCTTCAACCAACCGAACTCGGGGACAAAAGTCATTTGCTGCCCGCCTCGGTGCACATGTAGAAATTGGTGTGGTAAGTGTCGCGGCACCATTGCCAAACATTGCCAGCCATGCCTCCCAAACGCCACGAGAACGGGCCGAAAGCGGGTGAGAGAAGATCTCAAGCATGATTATAGCAGCAGAATGTAGCAGATTAAAATGTGAAGGGGCAATACTACCACCACCCATCAAAAAAAATGCCCTTGAGCCATCCAGATCATCCACTGTCAAACAAAAGAATGCCAGTTCCCCCCACAAACCACACAAAAATCAGTTTTCAGTTCTCCTCCCAGAAGAAAGACCAAGGAGAAAAATGTCTTCCAATTTCCCAAAACATCCAGCGCACCTCGGAGTCCAAAGGGTGACACTCCCATCAAGACATTCACCCCGACCAAGGGTAACTCCTCCAGGGGAGTAGCCACATGCGCCGTGACGTTGCCCTTGCTGTCGTAGGTGCTGGCATCCCAGCAGACGTTCAAGAGATCAGGGGTGGCATCCTCCAGGGCGAATCAAACAATCGAAATTGGCGATTTCATGAGAATGAACCAAGAAAAAATGCTGGTACCATGGGATATATGGGATATATGGAGATATACAATGGGGATACCCTCCACTGAAACATGGACCGCAATTAAAAAATCTCGGTTAAATCCATGGAAATCCCGGAGATCTATGAAGGGAATTGTCCCATGTTACAAGAGGGCAAACCCGCCATAGATATTCTTGGGGGAATTGTTGGTACTTATCCCCCAGGGGGTAATAGCTTGGTAAATTGGCGGAGGTGTATTTTGGGGGTTGCCACATTAAGAAGCCAACGGAACTGCAAATTCGGTTTTGGTTAGTCTTAAACCACGCTATCCATTTTGGGTGTCCAATAACATTGGCACATACACATACCATCACATACCTATGTCGTCACATATCTAAATACCATCCATTCAGATGCGTTGACCTCACCCCGTGTCCTCATCTCCCCACGGGAATTGGAGCGTTTCCTGCCCCCGCGCGGCATATTCCCACTGAGCTTCCGTGGGCAAGAAGTGGGCGCTTGCAGCACTCCTGTAGTTGCGCCAATCCTGTCCATGGGCCTTGGCAAACCGGACGCAGGGGCCAGTGCGGAAACATGAAATGGTTGTATCTAGAATGTTTTTTTGGGGGTTGGGGGAGTGGGGCGAAACTAAGGATGATTCATGATTATTCCCTTCAAACATTTAGTTGTCGGTGATAATTCAATCAGATTCGCAGATTTGGGGTTCCCTATTTGGTGATGACTCATAAGCCGAGCTGCCCACAGAGCATAGGCATTGGCTCCATACCAAGAAACCAAGATCATGGGCCAATTGGGTGGCACTCCCATCTTGACCTCACGTCCGACGGGTCGGAAGATAAGGCGTCGCATGAATGGATTGGTGGCGAACCAAACGAAAATTCTCCAAAGTCAGGAAAGAGAAAGTGAAAACAACCACAAACTGTTTGCAAGTCAAAAGTGTTGCATAGCTATTGAACGATTTGGGCTCATGGCTGCCAGGTCTTCCGGGCCTGCCAGCCATCCTCACCCAGGGTCAAGGGCAAATGAGCACAGCGCGCATCTTCCGCAGGCAGAAGGCACCAATCGAACAGCTGGTCTTGATTAGGTTTTGCGGAGTTCAAGAAACGCGCGTATGCACCCAAACTCACCTGACAGGTCGAGTGAAGCCCAACGCAAAACAAAACCTATAGATGGTCAATCGGTCAATGGGGGGTTATCATGCCCACTTCGAAGGAGTTGAACTTGAAAAAGAACTGAAATCATCTAACCTGCCCATTGGTTGGTTGAGTTATCTCACTTTTTTTATGCAGATGAATCCAGCATCATGTCTTGAAACCGCCACCCAGTCACAGGTTCGATGTCCATCAAGAAAGTGCTCAGCTCCACCATGTGCGAGGGTCCTTCGTTTTCGCGGGCCGAAGGGCAGCTGGTGTCATCGCCAATCCGCGCCTGGCCCCCGGGGATAAGAACACTTTCCATGCCGTCGCGGCTGCGCATGTAGCGGGAGGCATCACCTGAGCAATGTTCAAAACCTAACATCTCCATTATACTGGTTGGTTCATTGGGGTTCCCAAAATGGATCATGATCATTCTCCAAATATATATATATATATACAGAGATAGAGATAGATATAGAGATAGATAGATAGATAGATAGATAGATAGATAGATAGATAGATAGATAGATAGATAGATAGATAGATAGATAGATAGATAGATAGATAGAGATAGAGACAGAGATAGAGACAGAGATAGAGACAGAGATAGAGACAGAGATAGAGACAGAGATAGAGACAGAGATAGAGACAGAGATAGAGACAGAGATAGAGACAGAGATAGAGACAGAGATAGAGACAGAGATAGAGACAGAGATAGAGACAGAGATAGAGATAGAGATATAGATATAGATATACATATACATATAATTACATATAATTATATATATAGATATGATATAGATATAGATGTAGCTATAGATATAGATGTAGATGTAGATATATACACATATTGGGTAGCAGAACGATTGTCAACCAACAGGGGTTTAGCAGCCGCTGCTCACCTGCAGGATGATAAGCGCATGGCGCCACTTCACCAGTAAAGGTGGTCAATTGGGTGAAGGGAACGGAGGTCAATGTCACACCTGGTTGAGCAGTACTCGCCTCGGCTGTTGCACCGACACCAAGTGACAAGACCCTTCAAGCTGGTTGATATTCGTATCCGGCAACCCGCCAAAAAAGAGACAAAGTATGATGCTGTGTGATTTGGATGTGTATTTGCATATTATATATATATATCTGTGTGTGTATGTGCGTGGTTGTGAGTGTGCACATGTGTATAATATATAATATGTAAAAAAGATAAATACGCGGCCCATCAACTTGTGAATGTTTGAAAGATCCATGTTCGTGTCTGAAAGTTCCCAGTGGCGCTTTCCACGCTCTTGGTCCTTTGAGTCTTGGGCAGGTCAACAATAGCCTGCGACAATTGCTCGATGGTGGGGTTGTCAAAGACCAGGCGCGGGTCAATCTCCACCTCCGGGAACTCCCGTCCAAGCTCGAAGGCATCCATAATGATACACCTGGAGTCAACCAATGATTACCCTCCGGATCATCAAACATTGCAGTGGAAAATCCCCGAATAAATGAGCATTTCAATGGAACAATCATCTATAAATGGGCCAGAGGTCCATTGCAAAGTTTGAGCACCGCTTGTTTTTGGATTCCTGGAGATACCCTCTGAAAAGAGAAATCCTGTGAGGCATTCGTCAAAAGAAGCACTGTAATAGCAAAGATCATACTCTCACTTGGTGGAAGCGTCTGTTACCTATATAGCATAAGAGTATATATATATATATATTTAAAAAATATATATATAATTATATATATAATTACATATAATTACATATGATTAAATATGATTTTATATAATTATATATAATTATGTATAATTATATCTAAATATATATATATATCTCTCTCTTTGTGTGCGTATGTATGTATTCATTTACTTGTTTGTGCATTTATGCAAACATGTGTATATATAATATACACAGTGTGTGTGTTCATGTGTCTATGTGTTTATTCATTCATCTATGTGTTTATTCATGTCCTACTTTATTTATCGTATTCAGTATTCAATACATTTACTTATCTAATTTGCTCAATCATTTACTTTGTATATAGCACAGTATGTGTTTACTGTTGTTCTTTGTCAATTTGTCAATCTACAAATAATCATCGCACCTGGAATCCCTTCGCAGCAGGATGTTATCATCCGGTCGCAGTAGCAGCTCTGGATCCTCGAGGTCAAAGTCCGTGGGGTCGCTCAACTTGCGACTCAGCGCAGCGTCGCCTTCCTCGTTGGCCGTGCGTTCATTGAGAACGCGCGAGACCTTCTGCATCACCGATTCCAGGACATCCTAAGGTTGTAGAGGCAGAAGCTGCCTTTGGGATATCAAATTGCCCTGGAATATATATATATATATATACATGTATACATACATACATACATACATACATAGATGTATGTATGTATGTATGTATGTATGATGTATGTATGTATGTATGTATGTATGTATGTATGTTATGTTATGTTATGTAATGTAATGTAATGTAATGTAATGTAATGTAATGTTATGTGTGTGATGTATGTGATGCATGTTATGTATGTTATGTATGTTATGTATGTTATGCATGTTATGCATGTTATGTATGTTATGTATGTTATGTATGTTATGTATGTTATGTATGTTATGTATGTTATGTCTGTTATGTATGTTATGTATGTTATGTATGCTATGTATGTTAAGTAATGTAATGTAATGTCATGTAATGTAATGTAATGTTTTGTTGTGTTGTGTTATGTTATGTTATGTATGTATGCATACATACATACATACATACATACATACCTACATACATGCGTTTATATCTGTGTTATTTATTCACTTACATAACTTACATATTTATTTGTTTGTTTGCATCGCATTTTTCAAAATGATATCCATACAAATATTTTAAAAAATAAGAAAAATGAATTAATAAATGAATAAAAATATAGTATGATACAATATGATATTTAATGGTATAGATAGTATGATTCTGTATGTATATATCTGCGTGTGTGATACCATCTCCAAGCGGAAAAAAAAAATCTAAAAGTTGCAATGTTCTATGACCAACATCTTTGAATCATATGGGTTTGATCCATATTTGTTCCCCTTCTTTGGGCAAATGGAGTTCACTGTCAACCTGACACCCTAAGGTAAACCTGCCCCCCACCCCGGCACTCATGAAGATCAACAGGCAACTCCCCTACTTTGCTAGTTGGTGGTTTCACCTCGTCCCTAGAAAATTAGTCATTGGTGATCAATGGTGATCCTCCTCCCAGGTAAGGACAGAAGATGCCAAACATTGAAAACACCAAGGAA